ATAAGGAATCACTAAAAATTCATTGAAAATGACCGAAAATTATCGGACAGTTTCTTCTTTTTTTTTTCTTTTTTTTTTTTTTTTTTTTTACGTATCCATAGTAAGCGGACCAGCATGTTGCTGCTGATCCGGGACTTCAAAAACGCGTAATTAAAATCTGTACATCCTACGTATATAAGTAGTGTTAACTCTGTCATTATATCGATGATAATTCTCGTTACTTATATGCCGCTATATCTTTGCGGTAATAGTAGCGATATAGCGATTATTACAGATAATAAGAAAATAATGATTAATAGTAAATTGAAATTATTATATTAGCGATCGTTACTTCTTAATATCAGAGAGATCTAAGTAAGACAGTGGTAGTTTAATATCACAATAAGACTACTCAGGCCTCGTTAAACTGGGGCACGCTTTATGTATTAATGTTACTCTTCGCCTTGACGCTTCGTTATTAATCGCGCGATCCTGTGTTGGCGACACAGGTCTCAAACGACTCAGGTTTTCTCAGGCGCGACCGTAATTCGATGGTAATCTCCGACATTACACTAATGTCGGACGAATCGTTGTTTGATCATAATATGCTTCGCTTAAGCTTCTCACTTTTCTATCGTATGTCGTTGCCACGATACGGATATCGCGCCGCTTGCACTCGCGTAGTTATCTAAAATATGCTACTATGCGGCATATCTTTAGATTGCATTCACACGTGCGACCTTTTTTTTACCGTCGAAATTGCAATGTCGACGATGAATCATCTATCTCACAGCTCATCGACAGCAAGGCAAACTACACATTCTATTTGAACTTACAATTGTAATTTTTTTTTATACGGCCGAAATTTCGTCATCTGTTAATCGTGAACTTCATATAGGCGTGAGATAAACAACATTCGAACCAGATAGGTACGATGGTCCATGAAATGTAATTGGTATACACTAACGATTGCTAGTATTCACATCGTAGGCAACAGGTCTATATTTTCCGCGAATAACTACGATAATGCGCGCGCGCGCGAGTTCGTTTACGATTACCTGAGTGATATTAGATCGCCAGAGTCCCCGGGAGTGCGAATCGATCACGCGATTGCTATATTGCTCGTCATGCCTACGCGCTCTTCTCCCGTCGTCAGATCGTCATTTTGGCCTCATAGCTCGATACATGCCGAGACTAGCGACTCTGCGTTTAATTAATTAGCCGTTTGGCATCGAGAACGTCGGACCGGCCAGCCAGTTCTATACGCGCCTTTTATCAATTGTTACTCGCTCTTGACTTATGTCAAGTGATACACATCTACGCATTTTCCGCATCAAAGTGCAAAGAGCAAGTCTGCAGATCGCGTCGATACGCGAATAGCCCGTTTAGAAATGGCTGGCACAAACCCGACTTCACAATATCGGCGGCAGGAACGTGCCTGAGTCGTCGAGATTCGGATCTAGGCTCGCAACGATGTCGCCGGTCGATGCGTGCCTCGACGTCGCTGTCTGCGTGCTGCTCGCCAGGGCGTGACTGCTCGCACTACCGTTCAGCTTGCTCTTTACCATCAAGCCACCACCATTGTCGGTGCCGTCGGTACCTGTAGAGACCTTCTGTATATACTTGCGACCTTTATATAATCGGTACATCGTGTACGGTGGGTCCTCCATCGTCGTTGCCCGTTGTCGCGGTGCGCTCACAGTCACGCTCACTGTCTGTGGAGCGTGTGCGGATTCCCGCGGCGTCTCGACACTCGTTGTCGTCGTATTCGCGCTCGCGTTCACTGTCGATGAAGTTATCGCCGATGAAGAGGAGCTCATGTGCGAAGACGATGACGAAGTCAACCACTCGTGACGCATCGCCTCGTCGGGGGTCATACGCTTCTTTGGATCCCACCTGATAGTATTAATCATGTATAAAGTTCACAAATGGGGAAAGATTCGTAAGATTCAAGATAAGAAACTACTTTGTGGAACAGCCCTCTCCATTAGTAATCCTCCGCCAACAATATTGGACTTTAAAGACATAGTCGATTTTTTTATTATGAATTCTGATAAATTTAAATTAAAAAAAAATAAGTAAAATACAATCCTTCTGATAGTAAACATTTATTAAAGCTTTCACAAGTATTTAAAAATTTTTTCAAATTCTTATACAGTCCGGAGCAATGCGAAAATCTATACTAAAATTCAAAGACCCAAATTATGGACAAAGGGTGAAAATTTCACATTGCAACGTTAATTATTGTGAAAACCCTTCCTTATAGATTTCCATAAAATTATTCAAGTAAAAACTTTGAATTTTCAAAGATATCATAAATCGATTTCGTCGATGCATAATAGAATTTTCGAATAATAAATCCACGCCAGAAATATAATACAGCATATTGTAAGGAACTTACTCGAGGCATCTGCTAACGAAGTTTACGAAGAGCATGTCGGAGCACCGAAGCGCCATTGAGAGGTTCTTGCTACCTGCCCATCTCTTCTTGCCCTTGCTGTTTGTCACGCATCGCGGACTTCCCTTCTGATCTGCAATTATTTTAAACCCGGTTCTTTGAGTATTATGCGCGGTACGCCCTCTTCTATTTTTAGTGAGGACTCTTTTGCGGTCCTCTCAGAGTTTCCAGTACTCGCGTATATTAATAACTTACCGAAGAAGAGTCTGCGACGAGAGGCATGATTGATAATGTGCTCCGGTGGCAAACCGAGGACCTCCATTATACAAGCAAGTTGCTCTATCTCATCCTCGCCCGGAAACAGCGGATATCCTGTGTACAGCTCGGCTAAGATACAGCCCAGACTCCACATATCGATCGGTGGACCGTAGGTAAGACCGAGAATTACTTCCGGACTTCTATAGAACCTCGACTGTATGTATGTATAAACGCGTTGGTGGCTGTAACACGATGAGCCGAAATCGATGACTTTAATCGAGCTGCTCCCCCGTTGTTTCAACAGCACATTTTCCTGTAACAATGAGACAATGTATATGAGATACGACACTCTGGATTAACGAGAATAAAAGATGACTGTGCGAGCTCTTCTTGATGTTACTCACCGGTTTCAAGTCGCAGTGAATGATGTTTTCTCGGTAGAGCAGTCTCAGGCAACTAATTAGAGAGTTGGCGAAACGACGGATCAGGCTCAGGCTGAATCCTTGATAATTATTCTTTTTGATTAGCTCGTACAAGTTCAAGCTGTAATGCAAATTTGATTTGTTCGTTTAATAAATTCTCGCAGGTGGAAATCCGGCTCTGTTTTTATCTCACTTGATCGCTCACCTCATTAATTCGAAACTGATGCACAGATGATTTCTGAAGTAAAAATATTCTAACATGTGTATCACATTGTGCTGCGAGTTCATCTCTAAATCCTTCTTTCTGAGATGTTCCAAGATTCTCACTTCGATGAGAGCCTGATGATGGAATCTCTTCTTGTTTCTGCAAAGAACAAGTGAAAGCCGCGATGTTTAAATACAAAAAAATGACGCGTGCGATCGGAAAGCGAACACGTTCGGAAAAATGCCGGATGTATCGGACATTATTCATTGCGGACACGCACATGTTTTTTTTTTCCAGATCGTAGCTCACGATCTGAGTCATCGCGCGAGATGAGTATACCCTTTCCACGTACCTGATAATCTTGATGGCGATATGCTGTCCCGTTTTGTGATCCAGCGCTCGGATCACCTGGCCGAAACTTCCCTTGCCGATCACCTCCAGGATCTCGTATCTGAGTGCACATAAATTTTCAATACTTTACACACATACGAGTAAACAACGTGGACAAGCGGGGATGTAAGAAAGGCGAGAAGAAAATTCGTCGACGAATATTTTTATTTACAGTTTTGCGATTTATTGCAATTTGTGCATGTTTAGATATTAGGTATAGTAAAAATAAATCCATTATTTTTCCAATAGATTACTAAAGCCATCTATTGGAAAAATGATGGATTTCTTTTTATTACACCTAATATACAACTACGCATAGCTGTCAACCGCAATTTCTCCTCTCGAGAATAACAACACGTGGAATGCAAGATTCCATTGCTAGCTATGCGGTCTAGCTAATATACTCGGAGAAATAAACATCGAGCGCGAGCGGTGATAACAATTAGGATAGAAGAGGGAAAGTTACGTTGAGGTTTGACGAAAGAGGACAAACGGGTGCTCACTCACCTGTAAGAGATATGATCGTGCAGGACTTTGTTGTAACTGCCGTTTTCATCGTCGTAACCGCCGTTCTGGGAGGAGACCTCCTCGCCGTGGATTTTGTGGGCTGACAAACCCAGGTACCAAATCTCCGAGTACTTCTCGATCTCAGCACGCTCGAATTCCGTCAGTCTGGAGCCGTAATACTTCACCGCCTCCTGGGGCGTCATGGGCAGTCTCCCAGCTATTTTTTCCACGAAGAAAAAACACATGAGGCCGGCTGCGTACTTCAGGGAGTCCGCGAGAGTTACGTAAGTTTCCAACGACTCATAAATTCTTTTTTCGCTACCAGCGGAACGTCTTTGCCAACAGTACACATAAGTCTGTTTAATTTGAGCTTCAGAGTCAAAACGCAAAGCGATCGAGGCAAAAAATTCAATGTGGATAAGATTTCGAGGATTGTAAAGTGATGATACACATCTGACGCTTATCAACGCTTTATAATTTCTAAAATCTTACGTTGATTTTTTTCTTGCGTCGATGGTTTTACGTTTTGGCTCCGGAGCTCAAATTGGACAGGCCTGGTATAGAGCTTTCCTTTGGTCTGTTTTCTGTTCCTGTATTAGACTGCACTAGAAATCTCTTTCTCGCTTTCGACAAATATCAAACATATACCTATTTCACTTTAAGTTCCAAAAGTGTACACTGATTCAGCCACAGAAAACAGACCTTCTGATTAATTTCGGTTGCAGAAAGCGCTCAATTTCAAATAAATAATATTTACAGTCTCCTAATTTGTAAAGCAAGATTTAAAAAGAATGATCTAAAAAGGAACAATACAAGATGTAATGTCATAATAATTACTCTTATTACTATCAAAACAATACGTTTCAACCCATACTTAGTTTTTTCTCATCAATTATTTTAAATTATAAACTAAAAAATTAATATAAATATAATAATTGATGAAGACCAAGGATCGAAACGCATTTTCTTTTGATTTAGTAATAAAGGTAATTATGCATTTTTGCGATGCTGCATCTTGCATTGCTCCTTCGTTTTTTTTTTGTTAAATAATGCATTCCGTGCATCCAATTTCTATTAAACTGTGTTTTATTAAAGCTGTACTTATTTGTTCGCCAAGTAAACCGAGAACCGCTTTTCCCAGAAGTATGAATAACATCTCTCATATGTAATCCTATATTGCCTGCAATTCACGTCAACGTAACAGCGCGTTCCGTATGCTCAAATGCGTATCCGCGGCGTCTTAAATACGCAATTCGGTCGACGGTGTATTAAATGATAGCTCGGCACGACCGGCACGTTTCCCCACACTGGGGCCGTATATGGTATCGCGATTTTCACGTAATCATAGAGTTCTCACGTACCGTATACTTCGGGGGAAGTTGCGCTGATGGGTTCATGCAGCGGCATATTGTGGATGTTGTTGCTCGTGCTGTTAGAATTGTTCGCATTATTGTTGTCCGTCTTGTCCACTCGCGTCGGCTTGCTGTTGAAAAAAGACGGCAGTTTCTGAAACAGACGAAAGGATTTTTCTTTACCTACGAGTTTGTCGAAATGCGTTTTATGAAAATTTATAACGCCAACATTTAAACAAAACCCGAGCTCGCAAATTTATCTGCCCACGTGACTCGATTTTTTAAGGTACATGACATTCAGTTTCCCAAGAGGAAGGATATTCGCTATAATTTCAGCATAAAACTTCAACAAAAAAAAAATAAACCTGATCAAATGGCGCGTGTTGAGGGTAAATGTTGAATTTTCAGAAGAATGCAGAGAGAATATATTCAATTAATTTTTAAGAGACACATCTCCGAATTCAAAAGAAAATTTAGCTTTTTACGCAAACTTTTTCAGAGATCTCTCATATATTGTATTATATCAATCGCATCCTTCTCGAAGAAACGTACCTTCTCCGCCATAATTTTATCGACGTGAGGAAATAACACCGCAATTACCTCAATTTACCTTTTCGTGTTAAAATTGCCCGAATCGCTTCCGTGGCGATCGAAGCTTTTTTTGCATCGTGAAAGTGGCGCGGTATGATCTTTTAAAGAAAGTGGCACGCACGATGAATGCGCATCCATGATATGTCCACGTGTACGTATGTGACTGTGTGATGTACTGACCCCCGATTTAACAAGTTTAACGACACCGAGAAGTGACCCGGACAATTATTTCTTCACTGCCGAGAGAGCCATTAAAACATTTCGTCGGCGGAGCGATGTCTTTCCGTACCAACAGCCAAGGGCAATCACCGATCGTGAATGCATCTCGAATGACAATCAGGCCTACTGTTGTTCCCTACTGTTGTTTCGCGTCGGAGTTTCCAGTCTTTCATTAGACTTCCTCGCGCGTCTTTCCACCGATGTTAAATATTTATCTGGTATTTAGCTGGTATCGAACGCCGGTAATCGATTTCGGATGCTGTTGCCAACTTTTAGTGTCCAGCATCGCCAAGTATAATATATATTTATGGAGAAAATATCTCGACATAAGTCAGCGGAACGCGTTTAATGGCGAAGCGATAAATTATCGCGACAACTTGTAGCATCTTCTTGGCGTCTTCTTAGTATAGGTCAAATACCTTTCGAATTTAATGTATTCTATACTGATAATCATATAAATGATATCTGAGAATCATATAAACATTTCGAGATGATATAAAACGTTTTCCTGTTTTCTCATTAATTTTGCACAAACATAATATCGAGAAAAGTGACTAGTTTATTTATTCCAATGAAATTATGCGAGAGGATATACGCGTTTATTTTCAATCTTTGATTCGAGTATCTTGGAAACAGACACCTTGCCGAGGTGGATATCCACGCTCACCTCGCTCCAGATGTAGCACTGTTAACAGTATTTATGCGTGACGTTATGAGAAAGTATCGAAGTGGCGACTTCGTATGAATGTATTCAATGGCTCCGCATATCGCTTCGCGTATTATTGACGTTTACCTTCGACGTACAGCATCGCGAACATATAATTTTTCATACGTAAAATATTCGTATTGGAATAACAAGAGTTCTCTTCGGCGCATTTGACGTAACGATCGCTGTATCTTAATTAATGTCGATTATTCTAAACAGATCTCTTCGCGCTAGCGTTTGATCTATGTCCTACGAAGTTATAACAAAGAATGACGCGATTTGGCGCCAATTGATCAGGCTGGCGGCAATTAAGGTCAGGCGAATGTTGGCATAAATTCCTATTAAAGGGTCGCCAGACGATCCGCAAATGCTCTCACTCGTCCTTGTTGCCTTCTAGTTCTACATCGCGTTACGTCTACGCAATCGACCGAAACGTTCGCGATAGACTTTCATCGACCGAAACGATTCTAGAATCTTGCTGAAATTTGAAAATGATTTTATTAAACCATCAAAATAATATTCCGTTGGAAATTCAAATTACGCTATTAGATATAAAAGAACAATAGTAACTCCAATCCTTAAGTTAAATAACATTTTGTTATTTTTAACTTTTACATGTGTCAAAATGTGAATGTCGATACATATCTGCGGTTAGTTTCAAAGTAAACAACATTTATATTAATGTATGCACTTAGTAAATAATAAACTAAGAGTCTTTAATACATTTTTTGGAGTTAAATTGTTTAATACTGGATTGTCTCATTTTCCGATAAACTTCAGTTTACTGTCTTATCATCTTACTCTCTTATGCTCTTTTGTTTATCTATACCCTCTTGTTTATGTATGGTAATTTACCTATTAGATAAACAAAAGAGTAAAAGCATAAGAGATGCTTTCACTCTTTTGTTTATCTAATATGTAAATTATATCACATAGTCTATCTGAAGATGTGGACCGACCCTATCTTCATTGTTTTACTTAAATTAACGTCATATAAGCACAATGGCGATCTAGATTGAAAAGAACTCAAATTGGATATAGTTTAAAATTATGAATTTAATAGTATAGTTGCTAAAATATAAACATATCTTGCAACATTGTTCGTCCTCCTTTTTACGATCCAGCAAAATTATTTTCAAATTTGTATCCAGCAAAATAGTTCTTTCTATAATCGTAACGGATTAATCGAACGATCTTCACATCGTCCGACATAGCATCACGTCATAGTACAGACGTGATTTCTGCTTCATTAATTTTGTGCGCGGTGAAATCCCCAGATTCCAATTAAAATACGAATCTCTGAGAATTGATCGGTGACCGCGGCTCTCTCGTCTGACCTGGTGTAATGAAAAATTATTATCGCCCGTTGTGCACGGCTCGGATCGGCGATACGCGGATGCGTTTCACGCGGGGTGAGAGGAGATGGGAGGACAGCGGCATAAATAAAAAGTCGCGAGTGAATAACCATGCGATCCGGAGGCCGCTCATATAAATTGTAATCTTATGTTTACCTCGCCCCGCTTATACCAGTCTCTCACTCTCATCCTCCCTCTCCCGTCCTCTCTTTTTCTCGATGTACTTGATCGATCGCAGTCTCTCGCGCTCTTTCGTGTTCCCCTCCCCCCTCTCTCTCTCTCTCTCTCTCTCTATCGACCAACGGAGGCTGTTCGCTACTGAAACTCGACGCAGTGGATCGATCAACCAAGTTCGTTTTGACTCTCGAAAATCCAAGACAGACGGGGGGGGGGGGGGGGGGGACAATCTCATACGAGACACAGTCTCACGGTCTTCTTGAAAATGAATCGTCGCTGAAAAAGCTTTGCGGTTTTTAGAAGAATACGGTATGAAAGTGACGAACAACAACAGGGGAGAAATTTTCTCAAGGACGCTCGAACACGCTCGGTTTCAGCCGCCGGCCGGTAAAGCCCGTAGTATTGCCCACCGATCGCGCAGATAGTAGACATGCACAATAACTCCCTGTGTATCCCAGTTATGTTATGCGGTTTACCTTGTGACATCTCCCAGTCGCGGCCGCCTTTCTAATGCCGCGTGCGCCAACGCGATGCTGCAGCTGTTCACCGCTGCCTCGCGATTACGTTACCCGTAACAGCCGCGGCTGAAGTACCTACGCAACGTACTTTGGATACGTGGGACTTGACGTTGGCACGTGGGCGTATCGGTATCTCGGAAGCATGAAGCCGAGTGGAAACGTCACTCGACCATGGTGTACGCACAGAGAGGAGCTCATTAACCCGCGCGAGCGAGCTGATCCCTGGAGCGGAGCGGAGTGATCGGTGTTCCGTTACGACGTAAGAACGCCTTGAGAACGATTTAAATGGACGCGGATACAAACAGCGGGGCATTTTCACCGCATGTTCCACGCTAATTGCGACGTATCGTATATGTTTGCGCCGCACTTTCCCCGAGAGTCATGGATTTTTCACCTTTTTTCTCTCTGATAAACGTTACGTTACGCGCGAAACGAGTTATTTAGGAAAGGACAGATCGAATCCTTTAAGAAATGTCGGGGTGAATTTAACACCATATCTACATAATTCTTACACTGAGAGAAAATGATATAGTTCTGACAACTATAAGTATCTGTAATTAGTTTTATAAAATAATAGAAACTGAAGTAGTGCTGAATGTTATAAAAATATAGTCACGGTAACAAATTGTACGCACTATTAATTGGTAGTGAAATAGTGACTCAACTATATTGAGTAATTATTTGGACTTCATGCAAACAGATACGAGTATAACAATTACATTTTTCTAGTTTAGATAAAAACCTTTTTTTAATAAAATATTCTGTCTCATGTAATTAATCATTGTTGTCTAATTAATCATTGTTGAAATTACTTTAAGGAATACAAATTAAACACCTTTTCTCTAAAGTCATTCAGCATGAGCATTGTCATCAGAGGGACGTAACGGAATTCAGTTTCTTCCAAAAAGAAAACCACTCAACTATTTACAATAAAGGACGCAGGTTTCGAACTTGGAAGACAAAAATAAATAAGAAATGCATACACAAATTTGTAACTATGTATTACAAAACTTTAATAAGAACAATAAATAAATTAAATGAACTAAGAAAATATAGTAATATTACCATTTGTAATTGATTATATGGTTAATGTTACTATATATATATTTCCTTAGTTCACTTAATCTAGTATTCACTTAATCTAGTATTTCATTACAAATTTATAGTTACTGATACGACTTTTTTCTCCGACTGCACGTTGATATTAATTTTAATCAACAGTAGTGTAGATTTAAAACCGCTGATTTATATCCAAACCCATGGTGTTAAATCCACAAGCAATATTTTTAAAAAGAGAACCTGAGAAATACAAGTAATAAGCTCTCCTTTTTCGATTAATGCCAGACAAAATCCAACGAGATCTACATACACGATACATCTTGCGTATGTACACAGTAGCAGATTGGGTAAACAGGAATATCTCGCGCGGAAGCCACTAGATACGTGTATCAACATATCTCATCCACCCACGAATCGCGCGTGAAACTTGAAAGCATCAACTGTGTGCCTTGTTTAATTCAGCAAATACGCAGGCAAATACTCACGCGGTAGCGTTGCACTTCAAAATCACTTGCAATACGAGAGGATA